TTTACAAATTAGTGTTTGCACTGAAGTTGATATAAATTGGAACATAAAAAGACATAAGCCATCATTTTTTCAAGGATAAAGAGAGCCACATTTTTCTGTCTGATAAAAAATAGAGCATTTCTTAAATTAAGTTTCTGCTTGGCTGTGAGTTGAATCCACTGATGTCTTCTTTTGCTACTATAAACATTAAGTAATCAACACTTGGTTTTTGAATGCATGAGGTAGCATTTCAGGTGGGTGGATGTGGGTTAAACCACTTGGATTTAAGACAGATATATGATATAAATACTCAAGCACCACTGATTCCCAAACATTTTAGAGCTATGAAATATTATTTATTGTAGACACTTTTCATGAGCAAGAATTTTATTTTTTATTTTTCACTGCACTAGGGCTTTGTTGCTGCGTATGGGCTTTCTCCAGTTGAAGAGCGTGGGGCTGCTCTTCATTGTGGTGCACAGGCTTCTCGTTACGGCGGCTTCTCTTGCTGTGGAGCCCAGGCTCCAGGAACGTGGGCTCAGTAATTGCGGTTGAAGGGCTTAGTTGCTCCTGGGCATGTGGAATCTTCCCACACCAGGGCACTGGCAGGGGGATTCTTAACCCCTAGACCACCAGAGCAGCCCTTGGAGAACTCTTCTGAGAATTTCCTGGCACCTCCTCAAGCCAGATGGACGTATCTAGGAGTGCAGTGCAGCAAAACCATGCTTAGAAAGCACCGATCTCCATGTTAAAAAACAACAACAACAACTGCATAGCACCAGCTCCATGCAGTTTTCAGCTAAGAATGTGTGAAGATTGTCTGTCATTTATCAACTAACTGTTCTAGTTAGGGTTAGGGTAAGGGTTAGGGTTGGCTTCCCTGGTGACTCAGTGGTAAAGAATCCACCTGCCATTGCAGAAGACTTGCGTTCAATCCCTGTAGTGGGAAGATCCCCTGGAGAAGGAAATGGCAACCCACTCCAGTCTTCTTGCCTGGGAAATCCCATGGACAGAGGAGCCTGGCAGGCTACAGTCCATGGGGTCGCAACGAGTCAGACACAACTCAGTGACTGACAACAACAACAAAAGCTTAGGGTTAGGAGAGAGTGAGAACTGGTTACTCATAAAGCACATAGTTCTGACATTGTAGATGAGCTGGGAGTGTCCATCTATAAAACTGGAGCCATTTTCTAACCAGGTCACATCAGTACATTTCTACACACAAATTTCTTTTTATGTTCACACTCAAAAATATGCACATCCCTCTCAAAGGCCATCCATCTGAGTTCCCTTAGACCTAAAAGTATACCTTCTGCCCTCCTGTGGGATCCCACTGCAAAGAGGTCCAGTAACCAGTTGTGAATCTAAAGCAGTGGTCCTTAACCCAGCTTCACATTACAATCACCAGGGAAGCTTTGGAAAAATCCCAATGTCCAGCCAAGGTGAGAGTCACTGATCAGATGTATTCATAACTCCCATGTGCCTTATCAATTTGAATTCATATTTGGGTTTTTTTGTTTGATTCGAGTTAAATCATCTCTAATTTAGTTAGTCCTTAGATTATCCTTGACTTCTTGCCTTTTCTTGGTTTTGTAAATAGGTAGTTACTTGCCTTGTCTCTTGAGCTCCTGCTTCTCTGGACAGAGATTTACATTCAAAACATTCTGGCCAAACCACTAAAGAAGGTTGTTAGCTGGTGTGTCTTGAAATAGTTTAATTCAACAGCACAGAGTATATAGGGGCTAAAGTGAAATTACAGAACACATTCTAGATAACAGGGATTTGGGAGCTCTATGATAGGGCTTCCCAGGTAGCACTAGTGATAAAGAACTTGCCTGCCAATGCGGGAGACAAAAAACTCGGGTTCCACCCCTGGGTTGGGAAGATCCCCTGGAGGAGAACATGGCAACTCACTCTACTGTTCTTGCCTGGAAAATCCCATGAACAGAGGAGCTTGGTGGGCTACAAAGAGTCAAACATGACTGAAGGATTTAGCACGCACAGGTAGAAGCACAAAGGCTGCTGTGATAATTCAACAGCTCCTGAAGGCATGTGTGTGCTCTGTCGCTTAGCTGTGTCTGACTCTTTGCGACCCTCTGGACTGTAGCCCGCCAGGCTCCACTGTCCATGGGATTTTACAGGTGAGAATACTGGAGTGGGTTGCCATTCCCTTCTCCAGAGGAATGTTCCTGACCCAGGGATCGAACCTGCATCTCTTCTGTCTCCTGCATTGACTGGCGAATTCTCTATTGCTAGTGCCATCTGGGAAAGCATGAGACTTCCGTTAAGAGAAAATAAACTGTGGCTCAGCATGATGGTCCATTGTGAAGGGTTGCACACTGTTTGTACAGTGCCAAAAGTTTTGTCAGTACCAAACTTTACCTTGCACCAAAATAGTCCTCAAAGATGCAGGTATAGTAAGAGGATATGTGAGATCATTTCACAGAAGGCCTGAAAAAACGTCTTTTATCTAATCACTTTTCATTTATTTTCATGTATATTTGAAAATATAAAACTGGTGCAACAAACACATAGTTTTACAAGTATTATGGCTTTGGCCACAGTTTAGAAATATACCCATTTAAAGAAAAGGGGGCTTCCTTGGTGGCTCAGATGGTGAAGAATCCGCCTACAGTATAGGAGTGCATGCGCAGTCGCTTCAGTCATGTCTGACTCTTTAGACCCAGGTTGAATCCCTGGGCTGGGAAGATTCCCCTGGAGAAGGGAATGGCTACCCACTCCAGTGTTCTTGCTTAGAGAATTCCATGGACAGAGGAGCCTGGTGGGCTATGGTCCATAGGGTAGCAAAGAGTCAGATGTGACTGAGCAACTAACTCTTCACTTGAAGAAAAAAAGTATCAATAAAAAATTGTACACAGGTGATACTCATATATGGATATGGGGAAAAAAACACAAAAGTTTGATAACTCTATATTGTTCCATGTTGTAACAACCATGATCAGCTTAAAATGAATGTCATTATTCTTCCCATTTGCCAGATTAATGTTTTAGGGAGAGAAAAGGGAAAATAAAGAGGAAGATTATCAGATCTTTAAGTCAGTTATAGAGGATCCCATGAAATAACCCCCAGGCAAAGTGCTATTATTTCAGCCAGGTTTGGCACGCATAAAATGGGGGAGGGGGGCACTGAGACGTGATGCTATGTCATATTCATCCGGAGTTAAGCCAGAAATTTCTGTAGCTATATATATATATGTATGTGCAGCTTGCAGAATCTTAGTTCCCCCACTGGAGATCAAACCCATGTCCCCTGCATTGGAAGCACAGAGTCTTAACCCCTAGACCACCGGGGAGGTCCCACCTCTGTAGCTGTCTTAATAGAAAGCTCAAACTAGAAAACCCAGTGCCAAGGGAACCCTCTTACACTGTTGGTGGGAATGCAAACTGGTACAGCCACTATGGAGAACAGTGTTTAGATTCCTGAAAAAACTCGAAGTAGAACTGCCATACGACCCAGCCATCCCACTGCTAGGCATACACATCGAGGAAACCAGAATTGAAAGAGGCACATGTACCCCAATGTTCATTGCAGCACTATTTACAGTAATAGCTAGGACATGGAAGCAGCCTAGATGTCCATCAGCAAACGAATGAATAAGGAAGTTGTGGTACATATACACAATGGAATGTTACTCAGCTATTAAAAAAGAACGCATTTGAGTCAGTTCTAGTGAGGTGGATAAAACTGGAGCCTATTATACAGAGTGAAGTAAGTCAGAAAGAGATACACCAATACAGTATATTAACGCATATATATGGAATTTAGAAACATGGTAACGATGACCCTGTATGCAAAGCAGCAAAAGAGACACAGATGTAAAGAATAGACTTTTGGGCTATGTGGGAGAGGCAAGAGTGGGATGATTTGAGAGAATAGCATGGTAACATGTATATTACCATATGTATAATAGATGACCAGTGCAAGTTCAATGCATGAAGCAGGGCATTCAAAACTGGTGCTCTGAGACAACCCAGAGGATAGGGTGGTAGGGGAGGAAGGAGAGGAGTTCAGGATGGGGGACACGTGTGCACCCGTGGCTGATTCATGTGAATGTATGGCAAAAATCACCACAATATTGTAAAGTAATTAGCCTCCAATTAAAATAAATTAATTTTAAAAAAACACCAGTAGCAGCTCCCGATGCGTGTCTCTTGAGGAAGTGAACCCTGCCTCTTTAGCGAGCAGCTTGTTCAGCCAAGTGTGCACTATTTGTCGAAGGATAAGAAGTCACAGAGGAAGCCCGGTTCATCTGCTTATGTCTGTGTGTGTGTGCATGTTAGTCACTCAGTCGTGTCCGACTCTTTGCCACCTCATGGACTATAGCCCGCCAGGCTCCTCTGTCCATGGGATTTCCCAGGCAACAATACTGGAGTGGGTTGCCATTCCCTTCTCCAGGGGGTCTTCCTGATGCAGGGATCGAACCCAAGTCTCCTGCATTGCAGGCAGATTCTTTATGCCTGAGCTACCAGAGAAGCAAATGTTCTTGTCTGGCGTGTATGAGATTTGGCTCACCCCCGTGATGGACTCAGGTTAAATTCATTTCTGTCTTCCTCATATGCCACTCTTACTGGCCTCGAATTAGAAATTCAAGGGCAGAGAACAAAGCAGCCAAGTTTGTTTTTCTAGAAAAAAGACGGGTCTGGTGAAAACAGCCCCGACAGCTGTGTGCTGTGGCTTGGTGAGTTAAGTAAGGGCTTTTCCATGTTTCATTCAAGACTCTGTTTAGTCTGGATGCTGAGGATTTATGTATCAATTCTTGGCTCTGGTGTCATTGAGGTAGTTCTGATTTCCTGTGATTTCGTGGTCATCTGTATTCGCCTGCAGTGAAGGAAATAACTAACAGAACAGGAGTCAACTTATTCCAGGGTCACTTGAAAGCTGGCCTGTTTTCATGTGCTCTTTTTAACGGTGTTGCCAGGGTTCTAAAAACAAAAGCAGCAGTCCTTAATCAGAAACACCTGATGTGGTGGGTAACTGGCTCTCACGTTGGCTCTTGCAGAAGTGGCAGTGCGTCGAGGACACGTCTGGCAAGCTTCGGATTCACAAGTGCAAGGGCTCTGGTGACCTACTCGCCGTCCGACAGAGCACGCGGCCCCTCTTTCGTGGTTTCCACGACAAGGACAGAGAGTGCAGTTGTGGCGATTCCGGGTATCGGGCCAGCAGGAGCCAGAGAAAGAATCAGAGGCAGTTCCTGCGGAACCAGGGGACCCCAAGTAAGCCATTGCCTGTGACCTCTCGGTGGCAGGCTGAGGCTTTCAGGCATGGCCGTTAGGAAGGCAAACAAGCCTTGATCCATCTACATATTAAATGTCATCAATGCATAGGTTTGGGGCTAAAAGCAAATAATTGTTCTGTTTAAAATATGAAGGCTGAGATCATTTGAAATTTTGCTTTGTGAATATTAAGCTTATAATGAAAATATACTCTGTAAAAGTGGCAGACACAAAACATATGCACACTTAAAAAAGAAAATGAAAATCCTAAGTTTCAGCTAGAAGATGAGTAACAGTATAAGTTGCTAAAGAATATATGTCTTGAAATTATTTATGTATATGTGCATGTCCCTGATAACTCGGTAAAGAATCCACCTGCAATGCAGGAGACCCCGGTTCAATTCCCGGGTCGGGAAGATCCCCTGGAGAAGGGATGGGCTACCCACTCCAGTATTCTTGGGCTTCCCTTGTGGCTCAGATCATAAAAAATCTGCCTGCAATGTAGGAGACCTGGGTTCGATCCCTGGGTTAGGAAGACCCCCTGGAGAAGGGAAGGGTTACCCACTCCAGTGTTCTGGCCTGGAGAATTCCATGGACTGTATAATCCATAGGGTTGCAAAGAGTCGGACGTGACTGAGCAACTTTCACTTTCACTATAAAACATTAAATTTAACATGATACAATGGGAGGCATAGTTATTTTAATAATTTGTTTTCCTGAGTGATGAGGACCTAGATATTCATTGCATTCTTGTTTTACATCTACAGCAGATCAGAACAACTGAATAGTAAGAAAGAAAACATAGATTCTATATTACTAGGAGTTTCTCAGACTTGTATACATCTTTTTCTGGGAATGATAATGTTATCTGGCTTTCTTTGTATACTGGAAGAAAAAATTCATTAGAGTCATTATTAAAAACTGTTTCAGGGCTTATGCATTTAACTAATAAGACAAACATGCATGCTTTTTTTAAAAGGCTTGTCTGTTTTAGGACAATATATTTTTCTAATTCCTCTCATTGACTTGTAGGGTCTAACTAGTCGAATTCAGTATTAAAAGCACTGCCTAGCATTTTTATAAAAACTCTTATCAGGCAGCTATGAGATTCCTATGAAGCGGCACCTTCCCTAAAAGAATGAGAGTCTAGTGCCATCTAGTGGCTTAGTATGAAAAGTGACATTTCCGTGATAATGCCTTTATGTACTGATTTTGAAAAGCAAAATAGATTAAATTCCGAACCAAGAAATCAAATCATTGACTAGAATAACGGGAGCCCTTAGAACAGACTTTTAAAACCCAGACTCCACAGGTGAACTTTATATGATCATGAGCCCTCTAAAATTTTATCCAAAGTTTTGAGTATATTCTTTGTGTATATATGCACGTTTCTGGATGCAAAACTTTAAGGAATTGATAACCCCAAAGGCTGAAAATCAGTGACTTGGGAGATTTTCTTTCCTCCTGAAAGAAAATGCCAGGTTTAATAATTCACACCAAGATTTCGAATGGGAAAATGACCTAGACCCTCACCCTTAACAGAAACCATCCCCAATGTTCAGCTTGAAGGTGGAGGCAGCGTCTTCTCTCCCAAGAACTTCAGTGTCACTCCCCGGGCACTGACCATAAAGCACACTGGTTTTTCCGTGTTGCGCACAGCTGGAGAAGTCTAGGGCCATTGTTTCGAGCTGTGTGGAGAACAGGGGTTGGATGCTCTTCTTTTCCGTCACGGTGGAATTCGTGAGCACTCTTAGTGAGCCATCTCAAAGAGGCATTTCCTCTCAGATCATCATCCTGCAGAGAACTAGATGGTTCTCATTCTGCAGCCTATGTGCGCCCTTTCTTCCTACGTAAGCAGCAGGGTCGACCAATCAGAGCACTGAGCGCGCCCCACAGAGCCCGTGCATCTGATCAGCAGGAGCCCGTGTTTGCACATTAAAACTCTTACCTAGCCCACTGTGAGTTTTGACAGTGGTCTATGTGGATCAGAAAGCATACTGGCCTCCCCCTGGCATTATTCTCCATTTGCCAGGTATTTAGTCCATTGGCTGATGAAAGCATTTGCAAAGTTCAATTTTTCTTAGAGCAATCTTTTATTATTTGTGCAAATAGAAGGTGTCTGGAACGTTTGAAAGTGAAAGTATTAGTCGCGTCCAATTCTTTGCGACCCCATGGACTGTAGCCTGCCAGGCTCCTCTGTCCATGAAATTTCCCAGGCAAGAATAATGGAATGGGTTACCATTCCCTTCTCCAGGTGATCTTTCCAACCTAGGGATCGAACCCAGGTCTCCCACGTTGCAGGCAGATTCTTCATTATCTGAGCCATTTACCTTTCGAAAAGGCAGCCCAATCCAAAAGGGGCGACTTTGTCATCTTTAGAATCTGATAGTTTATAATCCAAGCTCCCACAGCTGTTGGCTACATCACCTTGCAAAAGATACGTAGCATTTCAAACTTCAGATTTCTCATCATAATATAGAGACGATAACACCAAATTTATGAGCCTGTTTTGACAATCTGATCATTTTTTTGTTTAATGTGAGGATTTATTATCATAATACCTGTCTTTCATGATTATGCATTAGAAATATGTACGTGGGAAATGGTGTTCCCTGGTGGCGATAGTGGTAAAAACCTGCCTGCCATTGCAGGAGACATAAGAGACGTGGGTTCAATCCCTGGGTCAGTAAGATCCCCTGGAGAAGGAAATGGCAACCTACTCCAGTATTCTTGCCTGGAAAACCCCATGGACAGAGGAACCTGGTGGCTATAGTCCACGGGGTCACACACACACACACGGGGTTGGACACGACTAAATCAACTTAGCAGGCACGCATGAAGGAAATAATAGCAAAAGCTTATTAAATTATAGTCATTACTATTATTTATAGTTTTATCCAACCTGCCTTGTAGTTCACATTGAAAACAATGTATTGGGTTGACCAAAAATTTGTTCAGATTTTCCATACCATCTTACAGAAAAATCCGAACAAATTTTTAGCCAACCCAATAGAAGTTCCCCTGGAGAAGGAAATGGCAACCCACTCCAGTATTCTTGCCTGGAGAATTCCATGGACAGTGGAGCCTGGTGGGCTATAGTCCATGGGGTCGTAAAGAGTCAGACACAGCTGAGCAACTAACACAATAGAAGTTCACAGCCTACAATAAGCAGAAAGTCCTAGAGATCACCTTGACCTACTCCCTCACTTGAGGGATGAAGGGCCTAAGGTCCAGAAAAACACCATCCAGCTCACCACTCTGTGCTGTTCAAGCCTGGACCAGAGCCTGCCTCTTCCCTTGTGAATTCCCTCGGGTCAGCTGGCAAGGCCGTGTGTGTTGCTCACCTCGCTCAAAATGTTCCCCAAGCCTGGCGATCATTTTCGTCCCTCCTAAACTACACCCGGACATCCATGTTAACTTGTCTTCCATTATTTCCAGAGTACAAGCCCAGATTTGTCCATACCCGTCAGACACGTTCCTTGTCCGTCGAATTTGAAGGCGAAATATATGACATAAACCTGGAAGAAGAAGAATTGCAGGTCTTGCGGCCAAGAAGCATTGCCAAGCGCCATGATGAAGGCGGCCAGGGGCCCGGGGGCCACCAGGCAACCAGCGGTGGTGATGGGGATACAATGCTTTCGGACAGTGGCAATGTTGTGGGCCTGCCCACCACCGTCCGTGTGACGCACAAGTAAGAAGGCTTTGTGGTCATGGGGGTTGAGTTCAAAGCCATCCCTCCATATCGTCACGATTTTTTCCCATTGCAAAAAGTAATATCGCTCAGCAGGGCAGTGTCCGAGTGCTGGCCCAGGTGATAACTGAGGGTTAAGAATCAAGAAGGGGGCTTCCCAGGAGACCCAGTGGTAAAGAATTCGCCTACAGTGCAGAAGATGAAGGAGACAAGAGTTCGATCCCTGGGTTGGGAAGATCCTCTGGAAGAGGAAATGGCAACCCATTCCAATAGTCTTGCCTAGAGAATCCCATGGACAGAGGAGCCTGGTGGGCTATAGTCCCTGGGGTTTGCAAAGAGTCTGGCACGACTGGGTGAGAAGCAATAGGAGTCCAGACTGTGATCGATTTGGACACTTTTTGTTTTGGGTCAGCATCACATGAAGGCTGATCAGCTGGGCTCTGAGACAGAGTGATGCTGTCACGTCTTGACTTGGCAGGCATGGAGTTCTGCTCTGAAGCAGTTACCTTTGTGGGGTCTAGAAAACCCGGACTGCAGAGGTGAAGCAGTTACCTTTGTGGGGTCTAGAAAACCCGGACTGCAGAGGTGCCCCATGCTGCCTGGTCACCGTGGCTCAGAGCACTTCACCCTCAGGACTTCAGAGATTAAGTACAGCCCAAGGGAGGACTCTGGGTCCTAGAGAAGCTTCCGGAAAGATGGTGTAGCTTGGGGATGGATGTGAGATCAGAAACACCTGACCTGTCCAGATCCCAGAGAATCACAGAGACGGGGTAGGGTGGAGGAGATGACTCCTCCTCGGCTTTGACCGACTGCCCTGTTCTTCAGTGCTTTCCAAAATCTGTGTGCGCTCTTGATAGAGAAGTCTTTTCTTTCCAAGTGTTCTAGCAATATCTTTGTTTTCTTTTCATTTCATCTTTAGAGAGGCAGGGTGCCGTGAGGCCTGCAGAACTTTTATCTTTGGGACAAGGGTCTCCAGGCACCTGTGATGGTTATGGTTGGAAACTGAAAGATTTAGACCCAGCTTGGTTTCTCTTTGAGGGTTGATAGACCCTGACCCCATCTCACCTGCTCTCCATCCCTGGGGCTGCTTCTTACTTCACGTTGAAAGAGGCCCCTCAGTCAGGCTCTTTATAACAAGATGAACTGGATGAATAAACCCCTTCTAACTCTGTTTTTCTTCAAGTCAGTCACTTCCATGACAGCTGTGAGAAGCTCATTCTTTTCCTACAGTATTTGGTGGGGCTTTCAGAAATGGAGTTTGGGGTGATGCTTGAATACTGCCTCTGACTTTGTGATGATGTCTCTCTGACACCATCCTCTGTCCTTGCCAGTTGCCAGGAAATAGTCCCACTTATCCTTGTTTATGGCTCAGCTCCAAATTAATGCTAGGATCCAAATTAAACATTTAGATAATGAAGTTCCCTCTGCTATTCCTAATGTTTTTTTAAACTACTTGCTTTTTTTAAGTGTTTTCCAAAGAGCCTCGGAACCAGCATTAGGTGCCTTTTTAAAATTTATTTGTTTTTTACTGACCAGGGATCGGACCTCTGCCCCCTGCATTGGGAGTGCAGAGTCTTAACCACTGGACCACCAGGGAAGTCCCTCTAATGTTTTCTGATACTAGAATAGAAACCTATTCCTAATGTAGATTGTTTTTGCAGGTGCTTTATTCTCCCAAATGATACAATCCATTGTGAGAGAGAACTTTATCAATCAGCCAGAGCCTGGAAGGACCACAAGGCCTTCATTGATAAAGAGGTGAGCAGTAGCCACGTGATTGGCAGGTGTATTCCAGTTTCAAACTCTGCTCACCAGCCCTGCTGTGTAGGCTCATCCTTTTTTATAATTAGGTGAAAAATAGAAGAACAAGGTGCTTATCTTTCTCCAATGATACAGTGATAGTCCTGACGGAAAGCAAAATAGACAGCGAGAAAAGCCTGACCTCTTGAAATCTCTGTGTGCAAAATGATTCAGTTATAAAAGAGCCAGCTGTTAATACTTATTATAACACATTGGACGGTATATAGAGGTAGACCTAGTCTGTGCTCAGCTTGTTTCCAAACTATTATCTCAGACGAATAGCTATAATTATGGATCACGGAAAACAGGGTGGAAAGTTACCTCATATAGAAAATCTTGACCTTACGATGTCACTGTTGGTGTGTGTGTTTTCCAGATTGAAGCTTTGCAAGATAAAATTAAGAATTTGAGAGAAGTGAGAGGGCATCTGAAGAGAAGGAAACCTGAGGAGTGTGGCTGCAGTAAACAGAGGTGTGTGTGCGTGTCCCACCACAGAATCATCTTCAAAACACAAGCTACAGTGAAGCACATGAGGCTCACCTCTGTTTCACCAATAAAAAGTTTAATAACTTGAATTCCCTAATGTATATTATAATGATCTAAACCATTTCAGTCAAATTAAATATGTCATAAACCCAAGTGGAAGGTTAAAAAAAAGGCCCCTTAAAACTGTTACATATAACAAAGTAACTGCCTACTTTCCATTTTGCTTCCATTTTATAAATGAACTATTTGGTGAAATGCATGATTATCAAAACTTACTTTTTAACCTTCTTGCCTGCAGCTATTACAACAAAGAGAAAGGTGTGAAAAAGCAAGAGAAATTAAAGAGCCACCTTCACCCATTCAAGTAAGTAACCATTTGCTACATTTGCTGGGAGTGAAGGACTGTTTGCTGGGCATTTCTGAAAGGTGACTGGAATTATATTCTGAGTGATGTGGCTTGAGAAAAGTAGATGCAGCTGGGAGGGTATTAAGAAGTTGAAAACAAGCCCACATCTTGCCAAGGGACCGAGGCCATCCTTGCTTTTGGAATGCCATGAGGGGGCATCACATGGGGCTCTAGTCTAATTCCACGTGTTCCCTCTGACGATACACCGGCTGCTAACTGGCTTGTCCTCCGTGCACAGTTTTCTGTGGGCAGTGATCAGGACACGTGGACTCACTGAATTAGGTCCCTGTGTTCTGTAGAGCAGCCTGCAATTGTGTTGAATTCTGAAAGCTGGAAGAAATCAACATCTTTTTAAAATAATAGTAAAATTAGCATATAAGAGGAATTTAATATGGGAGCCTCAACAAAATTTGAGCCCTTCATGGAAAAATCGAAAAAGTAAAAACACTTTTTAAAAAAAATTCTTTCCAAGCCTGATTTGTAGGATTTGTCAATAGAATTCTAGAAACCTAATTCAAGTTATCTAATCCAACCAATCATTGATTTCATAGCTGATAGACACTGAGCTGCCAGGAGGTTGAGCCACTTGTCCAAAGAGAATGGCTAGTGGAATCTTCTGATTCACATTGACATTTATTTCCATCAACGTTTGCATTCAATAAGCAAGAGAATGTTGATCCTGTTGAGATAGTAAAATTCTAAGGGTGTTGTCACTTAATGAGTATGTCTTCAGTATCACTGATTATATTCCGTGCTTTGAGGCTCTCTGAAAACTTAAAATGAAACTCGCTCAGTCATGTCTGACTCTTTGAGACCTCATGGACTGTAGTCCACCAGGCTCCTCTATCCATGGAATTCTCCAGGCAAGAATCCTGGAGTGGGTTGCCATTCCCTTCTCCAGGGAATCTTCCCGACCCAGGGATCAAACCCAGGTCTCCCACATCGCAAGAGGGTTCTTTACCATCTGAGCCACCAGAGAAGCCCTGAAAACTTAAGGCCATCTATTATTGTGTGTCTGTTGTCGTGCCTGAATGTGTGTGTGAGACTCACAGCAGCAACCCTGTTTTTACTTGAGAAAGTGCTTTCTGGTCATTTAAATGTCCCTTCTGTTGAAATAGAGAAGCCGCTCAAGAAGTAGACAGCAAACTGCAGCTTTACAAGGAGAACCGCAGGAGGAAGAAAGCCAGGAAGGAGAAGAAGAGGCAGCGCAAGGGCGAGGAGTGCAGCCTCCCCGGCCTCACCTGCTTCACACACGACAACAGCCACTGGCAGACAGCCCCGTTCTGGAACCGTGAGTCGCTCCACCTGAGTGCTACTTCCTGGGCTTCCGTGGTGGGCCAGTGGTTGAGACTCTGCCCTTCCAATGCAGGGGCACCAGGGTTCGCTCCCCAGTCAGGAAACTAAGATCCCACACGCTGAGCACGCACGCATGCCTGCTAAGTCACTTCAGTCACGTCTGACTCCTTGTGACCCCGTGGACTGTAACCCTCCAGGCTCCTCTGTCCATAGGATTCTCCAGACAAGAATACTAGAGTGGGTGGCCATGCCCTCCTCCGGGGCATCTTCTCAACCCAGGGATCGAACCTGCGTCTCTTACATCTCCTGCATTGGCAGCTGGGTTCTTCACGACTAGTGCCACCTGGAAGCCCACAGGCTGCACAGTGCTGACAAAAAAAAGAAAAATGCCACTTCCTGCCACCGTGTGGACAGCCAGCAGCTCACCCAGTTACTTAGACTAAGGAATGAATTCAGCAGCTTGAATCCAGGCATCTAGAAAGATTCTAGATTAAAGTATTGTATCATTTTTCTATATTGACAGCTAGGATCATTTTTGCCCCTAAATTACTTTTTTTCTTTAGAAATTTTTATTTTGGTCTTTTGTTTGAAAATGCCAAGCTCTCCATGGGTTTTTCTCCCAGTGATATTTCACACGGTCCCCAGTCCTTGACGGACTTCTGGCCCAGCAAGACTGCTCTGTCACTAAGTAACTGAATAAATGGATGAACACTTTTACCCCAAATGTACTTCATTTCTGCTTTCTTCAAGAACACGTTCTGCATATCACGAAAGGAAGTAAAACTCCTTGAATGCAGGGACTCTGTCGGATTTATTCTCAGTCCCCTTCAATACCAGCTTTTCGCATGAAGGCCAGCCAGCCCACAGAGTAGCTAAAACAGCAAATCTAGTTGAAAGGATCACAATAGGCCTCCCAGGTCAGTGCTTCTCAAACTGAATTTGGAGACTTCAAGGAACCCACAGACCACTCTTAGGGAGACCTAGGGCCTATCTTATGACCATTTTTGTTTTATCTTTCTTTTTACATGTGTCTTGATTTCAGTGTCTGTGTTTGCACTTATGTTTACATGGGCTTACCAGGTGGCTTAGTGGTAAAGAATCCACCTGCAATACAGGAGATACAGTAGACTTGGTTTCAATCCCTGGGTCAGGAAGATCCGCTGGAGTAGGAAATGGCAACCCACTCCAGTATTCTTGCCTGGGAAATCCACGGACATAGGGGTTTGCTGGGCTACAGTCCAGGGTCGTAAAGAGTCAGTCATGACTGAGCATGCATGCACAACTCACAAAACAAAAGCAGACTCACAGAACATAAAGAATGAACTTACAGTTGCGGGGGGGGAGGATGGGGGAGTTAGGGAGTTTGGGATGGACGTGTACACACAGTAGCAGCTTTAATTGACAGTTCTTTCACATATGTTCTACCAATTAACCAGTGAACCTCTGTATGGTACAAAAGATGTTCATGGTAACTGTCCATCTCATGTTCAAGTGTTGTGGAGAGTCTATCACATCACAAATTTCGACGTCCTTAAATCCTCTGAGCAAAATTCAAGCCTTCTCCAAGCCCGTCTACACTGCAGAATCCCCTCTGTTTCCAGGGCCCATTTGTAACACTCGACCATCTGACAATCAAAACAAGCTAAGGCCCTGGGTCCATCTTTTTATTAAGTAACTTTTTTTTTTCATTTTTATAAAAAATTACAACAACCATAAATAGGAGTTCTGATACTTTCCTTCCTTCTCTCCACTCATCACTGGGTTTTAGAGAGCAATACCCAGCAGAACTTAGGGGACAGCAGACGAACAGGCTTGAAACTTCACCTTCATGAGTCGCCACTGTTTTTTCCATCTTCACCTAATCTCACAGCAAATTTGTATAGAGAAGGGGGGGAGATAGAGTACTTTTAACGTCCACCCACACAGTATTTGCAAGAGAGAAAATACGAACTTTAAAATGTGAAGACAAGAAAATGTTGAGATAGCTCGGCGGCCACCCCGTCTCACCCTCTTCCCTTTGTTTTCTGTCTCACCAACAGTGGGGTCCTTCTGTGCTTGTACGAGCTCTAACAATAACACCTACTGGTGTTTGCGGACAGTTAATGAGACGCATAATTTTCTCTTCTGTGAGTTTGCCACTGGCTTTTTGGAGTATTTTGATATGAATACAGATCCTTATCAGGTAAGTCAATATGTTCTCTTTTTGTGAAGCTATTGAAAATGGAATGAGGAGAACACGAGCTTAAAGCTGTTGTCCTGACCTCTTCATCCACAGCTCACAAACACTGTGCACACAGTTGAACGGGGCGTTTTGAATCAGCTACATCTGCAGCTGATGGAACTCAGGAGCTGTCAAGGGTATAAGCAGTGCAACCCAAGACCCAAGGGCCTTGAAGTTGGTAAGGGGAAAAAAAAGAATTTTTTCTTCCTATAGTAGTACCTGGAAAATTCTTTTTGTGGTCATGTTTTCTGCCTTGGAAACATATAGCTGGGGAGAGAAGACGTAAAAGCGTATCGTTTGGGACCCTTACAGGAAACTTTCCAGGCAATTCCAAATATACTTTGTTCAATAAATTTAGCTCTGGGTACATTAATGAAAAATTTAATACCCCCAAAGATTTGGTGGGCGTTTCATTCCATCTCTCCCAAAGATGCATTCTCTTAGTAAAGCTCAGTATCTGATGAAAGCATCCATTGGAAGATGGGATGAAAGCAGCGGGAGTTTATTTATTATTGCTGTCAACAGTCATAAGAGATACTCTAGGTTGGCTGGGAAATTCTTTTCTTCTTCTTAAAGAGAATTGGGATGGAAACACACAATGCCCTATTTCTGCCTTTCAGAGCTTGAAACTTACCCAGCTGGATACCTGCCCATGACACACTGGGTTAGATTTCTTTTGCCAGTATTTCCCGTCTGGAACTAGAGATGTTTGAGCAGGATGTTGTTCGGAGATCTGAAAGTTTAAGAGGGCTGACATGGAATCAGCCTGAAATTCCCTCCCTGGTCTGCAGTGCTAAACTCACTCATTTCTCCTTTGGCTCCTGGAGAGCAGTTCTTTTCAGTGTCTGCCCCAGCTCTTTCCTAGTTAATGAGAATACTGATTTTCTCATAATTCCTATAGAAATGTAAACATCAGCTGTCCATAGAAGGAAAGAGAAAGCGCTGGAGCTGGCCAAGGGCATAACATGTCAACCCCAAAGGGGCCAAAAGTTTGATCCATAGGCATGTGCTATGTGCTAAGTCACCTCAGTTGTATACAACTCTTTGCAACCCCATGGACTGTAGCCCACCAGGCTCCTCTGTCCATGGGATTCTCCAGGCAAGAATACTGGAGTGGGTTACCATGCCCTTCTCCAGGGAATCTTCCTGACCCAGGGATTGAACCTGTGTCTCTTAACATGTCCTGCATTGGCAGGGGAGTTCTTTACCATTAGTGTCACCCGGGAAGCCTGGACCCATAGGCAGTGGGGAGCAATTTGCAAGAATCCTCTGTTGGCAGCTGGATTTTCTCAGTGCCCTTAAGGGCCTGTGTCTGTGGGTCCCCTGTAAGCCGGCATCAGCAGCATCACCAGCAATAAAAGCAGGCAGTTTCCTGGGCCATGTGACTGATGGGGATGAGGAGCCAGGGTGCGTCCTGAAATGGCAGCATCGTCCCCAGTCACTTCCACCAGTACTGTGTCCCAGAGGCTTTCAAGCTGCAAGTGGCAGCTTGAAAATTCTAAATCCTGTGGGCGGTCCCATCACAGCTGTCAGTCACCACCCCTCCATTCATACCTTAGTGGAATTCATCACCAGCCGGGAGAGTCCAGATCTTTTGGTCAGTAGCTCCACTCAATTTAAACCTTTTCAGATATCTGGTTTATCTGTTGACCTTTTCCTCAAATCCTAAAGAAAAAAAAAAAAGCCTGGAAACTGGAACAGCCATTAGAGGCACTAGAAATATGACCCCCAGATATCTCTTCCCTGAAGCACATAGCACTCTTATTGGTGATGACATGGCAGCTCTGCTTAGTGAAACCTGATCAAGCCTCTGAACGGTGAGTGACATGCCAGGTGGAGCCTGTTTTTGCTGTTACACTTCAAGCTGTCCTGTCCACTTCTAGATGATTCCTAAGAGAGATGATTGTTGGCCCTTTTTTCCAAGTGTTTGGTCTAAAGTCACCAAAAGTTAACTATTCCTGAGACTTACTTGGACTTTGGGAAGTACTCATCTTATTACTTTGAAATGGACTCTCCTATCTCACCCCCACCTGTTTTTCATGTAAACTCCAATATGTTTTATCTTAAACCCTTTTTTAATTTATAGCTTTCCATCCTCATTTTGAACCTAACAGAAAAGCTCTGTTGGACTCTGGCGCTGTCTATATTTCACACGATATGTTTCTTTCTAGGATTTAGAGGTTGTGCATGAAACAGGACAGAGGGAGTGGTTTTATGAGTTCTAAAGCTAACATAAATTACTCTTATATTTTCCTATATCAGGAAATAAAGATGGAGGAAGCTATGACCTGCACAGGTATTCAGACTTTTTTATTCTCCCTGGCAGCTGCTTTCCCAATAATTGCATGATCGAGCCATTTTAACTCATTTCCATTCCTCACCTTGTCGCTCAGAGCATAGCTTGGGGTGCATGCATGTTCTAACAGCTCTCTCCACCGTCTTGTGTCATTGGGAACAGATCTGTCATTTTTGCTTTGAAATCAGCTCACTGTCACAACCAGATGTGTCTCAGAGCCTTTACACACTCGTGCTTGTATGCTTGTTGGATGGTGCTTGGCAGCATGGAATGGCGGGAAGGGGGAGAAAACAGAATGACCTTCGGGAGCCCTGGGAAAAAGCAGAGAGCATTATTTTCCTGGTGGTTCTTACACCAGGATTTGCTTGGGAGGCGTCATGGCAACGAGTTAGCGATTTCATGAAATGTGACGTCAGGATCACAAAAGGGATCATGGGAATGTAAAGGGCATGGTAGAGCTGACGCTGGAGGAAAGACAAGGCGTGTCCTTGTTCACGGTCCTTAATTGGCTGTGGTGATCAAAGCAGCCACGCTAAGGCTCAGAAGCTCTGTAGGGTGGTGGTGTGTGAAGGGGGAAAGTGGGGCTCCGTGTACCTAGGGTCGAGACTGGCAGGAAGGTCTCAGCACATCATGGAGACAATAGTGCCTGACACACAAAAGCTTGAAGACCAGCCCTGGGCCCAGTCTTCTTCTTTCCCTCTAGCCGCCCCCACCCGAGTAGCCCTCCTGCCTCGCTGTGCTCTGGGGTCGGGCAGGAGGACCCCAAACACCTGGTGACTGGGTCAGCCCTTGCTCATGACCTTTACTCCCTGCTGAGACCTCAGGCAGGTCTGTCAGAAGCATGCTGTGTGGGGCGGGAGGGACCTGTCCTTACTACCTTACTGCGGGGAAACTGAGGCACGGCCTTAGTTCCTGAATCCTCTTGGGAGAAATGATTCCATCAAAGGAACATGGACCTCGCTGGTGTTACACGTGTTGATATTGTCTTGGAGAAACTGAAGAATATCGCCCTTCCAGGATGTGCTGGTGGCCCTGCCCTCCCTCAAGCCTGCTGAGCTATGGGCTCAGATTCCTTTTTTTTTCAAGCACAGGCAAGCTGCACATGTATTTGCTTGCTTGTGCTTGTACTCAGACGTGTCCGACTCTTTGCAGCCCTGTGGGCTGCAGCCCGCCAGGCTCCTCTGTCCATGGGATTCTCCAGGCAAGGATACTGGGGTGGGTTGCCATCCCCTTCTCCAGGGGATCTTCCTGACCCAGGGATCGAACCCAGGCCTCCCGCACTGCAGGCGGATTCTCTACCATCTGAGCCACCAGGGAAGCTGTCACATGCCTTCTTTTAAAGGGCAGCTTATTGGTGCCGGGAGAAGCTGGGTGGTGGTGGGGAAGGTGCAAGCATCAAACAAGACAAAGGAGCTTGGACTTTTGAGGATCCATGATAACCATCTCTCCCTGTCTTCTTTTTCTCTTCCCTCTGGTCTTTTTTCTCCCCTTTCCTCACTCTGCCCCCACACCCCCCTGGGTCCCCTCCCCCAGCATGCATAAGACAGAACAGAAAACCCCCTCCTAAGCTGGTCTCCCCCCGGGCCATGTGCTAATGAGGTAATACTATCTCACACACTGGGACTCATCTGTCTGCCTCCCGGAGGTCCCCGTAAGACATTTCTCAAACAGGGCATTTTAAGCGGACCCCACACTAGGCATTGACTTTACAGTTATTTTATGAGGCACTCAATTCTACAGCCAAGGAATGTTCCATCTGGCTCTCTTTTATTTCTCTCATGACAGAGGTAAAAGATATAGACACAAGTCTGTTTGGAGCTGAGGAAGGGTTCTTCTTCACAAGCCATCCTCCGATAGCTCTGACATGAAGAATGTTATCTCCATTCCAGTCGTGATTAAAGGGATTTTTTAATATGACATAAAAACATAAATTCTAAAAGAGAAATTTTTCAATATTTGGACAAATTGGACTTCACCAAAAGTAAAAACTTTTGGAAAAATGAAAACTACAATGGTACCAAAGCAGAGATTTATTACTTTTGATCATGAATCTAAGTCATACATGGAAGACAATGATACTATTAAGTAATTATTGAAGAACCAGCTAAAAACAATATGTAATGGATTTTTGAAATCAATTTAACTGAATACAATTTATCTTTCTTAGGAATGACTTTTGAAAATAATGCCTGTAAAAGTCACTATGTAATATTTTTCACCCAGCATCTATTTGAGACTTTAAGGATAAAGCTATAAGACGAATGGATAAGGAAGCTGTGGTACATATACACTATGGAATGTTACTCAGCCATTAAAAAGAATTCATTTGAATCAGTTCTAATGAGATGGATGAAACTGGAGCCCATTATACAGAGTGAAGTAAGCCAGAAAGATAAAGACCAATACAGTATACTAACACATATATATGGAATTTAGAAAGATAGTAATGATAACCCTATATGCAAAACAGAAAAAGAGACACAGATGTACAGAACAGACTTTTGGACTCTGTGGGAGAAGGCGAGGGTGGGGTGTTTGGAGAGAACAGCATCGAAACATATATATTATCAAGGGTGAAACAGATCGCCAGCCCAGGTTGGATGCATGAGACAAGTGCTCAGGGCTGGTGCACTGGGAAGACCCAGAGGGATGGGGTGGAGAGGGAGGCGGGAGGGGGGATCGGGATGGTGAACACATGTAAATCCATGGCTGATTCATGTCAATGTATGGCAAAAACCACTACAATATTGTAAAGTAATTAGCCTCGAACTAATAAAAATAAATGGGGGGGGGGAAAGAAAGAATAAAGCTATAGAAACAAAAAAAAAAAGGAGGGGGGGGATTGGGGCTTTCCGGGACTGCAGTGCAGGAGATGCAGGAGA